TCAGACGTTTTAGAGTGCATGGTGTCATAAAAATGCAAGCTTAGTCTTTTCCTTTCATCCATGCATGAGCTATGGAGTTTTTGATAATGTTAGAAGTTAGGGTTTTGGGATTAAGCTCTCTTTAGCCATTCAAAGGCATAAAGTTGGAGACTTTATGGATTATAATGCATTTTAGTGGTAAGATCTGGCATAAAGTGTCTTAATGATTAAGAGCTTAAAAATTAAGATTGAGTTTAGGCCGAGTATGTTGAGTGTAAATCTGGCTAAGCCCAACGTAGCCAACTCAGATCCCGTTTTCAGCTTTTGTATACTACACTAAACGTAGGGTTTTGGTACGTCGCACGTAATGGTTAACTGTGTTGACCTTTGACTTGTTGAAAAAGTGTGACCTTAGGAGCAATTTGTGAGGGTTTGGTCTTGGAAGGGGAAAAATGGTCTTTTGCCCAGATTGTGGATTAGACTTGGTTTGGGACTAGTTAAGTATGGAAAATTACCCTAATTGTTAGTTAGGGTTATTTGTTGCAATTAATAGGCAGAGTTTAGTTCCGACAGTTCGGGTGTGAGTTCTATCACTCTTCTATGCGAGGTGATTCTCCTCACTATTTTTACCTGTATGGTAGAATGTATGTGTGACCAGATATGTCTATTTATTGTTACTGTGATATATGTTGCTATATGTGCTTAGACTTCGGATAGTCTCTAGGGTTGTTGATAACCTACAAGGTGTGTTGTTGCGTACTGAGACTTCGGGTAATCTCCAGGGTTGCTGATAACCCATAGCTGTTTAAATTGTGTTATATTCTATATGGTATTTTAGGGAACTAACTAAGTTTCATGCTTACAGTTGTTGATTACTTTTGTTTCAGGTACTTTCGATGATCGCGGAAAGGCGAAGGCTTGATTTTACACATTCAACTGTAGTTTCTGATTCTGGATATTTTGGGAAACTCTAATATTATTATGATGGTTTGTATTTGATACTTGTGATTTCCTTGAGATGGGTTTTTATGAACAATGTTTTTAGTTAATTAAAAATAAAATTTGGTTTGAAAATTTGGATGTTACAATAAAAGAGAACCTAAGGTTTGTTTATAAAAGAAGTCAACATTTTTTAATAAATCCAATAACTAGTTTATAAGATTTAGACTTTAACCTTTTGGTAAAAGACAAAATGATTCATCTAGTCCAAAAAATTGTACATGACTACTTAATTAATGCCTTATGAATTTTTGTGATACTTGTAATTGTAAAATAATTATTTCCACAAAATAAATATTTTCTCGATATATTTATAAGAGTTTATTGAATATTTATTAAAATCTATTTCTAATAAATATTAAATTGTATCAAACTGTTGTTAGAGTGCCCCTTGGGATCATATGTTAATTAGCAATATCATTTTAATATGGCTCTTGAGTATACAAGATCTTTCAAAATATGGCTTTTTAGCCTTTAATTTATCACATGACCCTTTTTATCTGCAAAATACAAATTTATAACAATCAAGTATCAATTCTTTTATTTTATCCTTGAAAACATGTAGTAAAATACAACATATGTCCCTTAATATATATATATATATATATATATATATATATATATATATATATATATATATATATATATATATATATATATATATAATTTAGAACATATCAGTCGTAAGATGTTGATGGTACTGATCCTTGCATGGAGTCATTACAAGCTCTTTATAGAACATAGAATCTTATAAGTCCAATCTTGAAGGCTTCCACAACTATGACAACATCCAAATTTAGGATATCCAATGCTTCTCTTCCAAACCTGCTTATATAATCTCTAAGAGGTTCATTTCATCTTGATTTATTTTGTAAAGATCACTTGTTAGTATTTCAAAAGTTCTACAACATGAAAGTTGATTATTAAACAAGTTAATAAGATCTGAAAAAGACGTAATAGAGTAAGGATGAACACTCAATAGCAATTTCAAGGCATGTCCCATAAGGTTTAAACTGAAACCCTTACACAAACAGGTTTCTTTAAGATGCAATGAAATATGAATAATTTCCATCTGTTCTCTATGTTGGGTAACATGTTCTTCAGGATTTGTAGTCCAGTCGTACAGTTTCATGTTTGACATTTGGAAATGTTCGGGAACTCTGTATCACAAATTGGGGGGGGGGGGGGGGGGGATTATGAATTATGTAACTTATAAGAAATGCTTATGTGTGGGTTTTATAATCCTAAGGAAACTCGAAATCATATCCCTCGATTGCTTAAGTTCATTTTCCATTGCATGACTGATTCTGATATCTTGGGTGTATAAGGATGTATCAAAGATTCCTAAGGAAACTCGAGATCATATCCCTCAATTGCTTAAGTTCATTTTCCATTGCATGACTGATTCTGATATCTTGGGTGTGTAAGGGTGTATCAAAGATTCCTCCACGATCTTGGAGAGTCGTGGCTCAAGGATAGGGGGTCACGCTATCTGTCACGATTGGAGATTGCATAGGGATGATGTCCCCTTCATGATGTTTTAAAGATCCTCTAACCTCAAAATTTAGGATCTTAGGGCGCAAGAGTAAAAATGTAGTTGGTGTTGTTTCAACATACTTTCTCTTTTCTGACTTCAACTTTTCTATATGTTCAATCAACATCTTGGTGGTTTCGTCGTGTTGGCTCATGTGCTGCTGGCAGTGCTGCTTCCTACGGTTCAACATAAAGAGGATTTCAGTGTAGGAGATCATGATGTGAGCTTCCCGAGTTACTCCACTTCCTACACTTGAAAATGTGTTTTTTAGCCATATTCATATTTTTCTTTTGAAGGATAGTTCCACTATGTGGGGGAGGAAGGCTTACTCTAGAAGAGATGGTAGGAATGGTGTTAAAGGTTGATTTTGGTAATGTCAACATTATTTAAAGAAATGATTAAAAATCAAAATATTTGTAAACCAAAACGCCACTTGTCCCACACTCGGAGCCAAATTGTTTTAGTAAAAAATATTTTAAGTTGATTCAACCAAATTTGTAAATGGGGTATGATATTTCGAGATATAGTTCAAGGTTATGAATGTAAAATGAAAAAGAAACACAAGATGTTTACTAGGAAAACCTTTGACACTCAATTTTAGAATTCAATTTTACCAACATCTTAGACAAATAAAGAGATATGCTAACAATTAAAATAATAGAACAATATCACCCATAATAGTTTATAAGGTTTTCAAATCTCTATTTGAATTGTAAATAATTTTAAGTACTATTTAAAAGATTTTATTAAATGATGTATAAAAGAACCCTTATATGTGATTATAAGTAATAAAAGCTATCGTTATCAAGAGGTGGTCCAACAAATTTGCACCGATATACATTTATTACTTTGGGATTTTTTTTTTTACCAAAAATATAACTGCTGCATGTAAATATAACACTTGAATATCTAGTGATATTTTCACTTGGAAAAAAATGTATATAATAAGTGAGTTTCACAACCAACCAATATAAAACCTACCACTTCCCTCACACTTATTCTATCTCACCTTCCACACCAACAATGGGGGAACAGAAAGATGAGCAAAGAGCACTCGAAGACGATGAACCTGAAGTCAAATACAGGGGAATCAAAGCTATGCCCTTCATCATAGGTACTATGCGTAATCATTTCCTTTTATTCTTCAATTTTGTATAAATCCTTTGATATGAATTCAAAGTCCAAGTTCAATTGCACGTAGTTACAGTTAACACTCATGTATCACACCATCATAACCGTTTTCAAGATCACTAAACTAAAAAGTGAATTGAATTTTGTTAGGAAATGAAACATTTGAGAAACTCGGAGCAATTGGAACACTTTCCAATTTGTTAGTGTATATGACTACGGTTTTCAATATGAAGAGTATCACCGCAACTACTCTCCTCAACGTCTTCAATGGCACCACCAATTTCTCCACCTTGCTTGGCGCCTTCTTGTGCGACACCTATTTCGGTCGCTACAAGACATTGGGTTTTTGCTTCAATTGCATCCTTCATTGTATATATTTCTTCACTTTCCATTAATCAATCATCCCAATCTTTTCGAATATATGATTCGGTTTATGATTGGCTATTTATAGGGTTTGCTTTTAATCGATCTAACTGCGGTGTTCAAAGGACTTCATCCACCAGAATGTGGGTCAAAAGAAGGTAGCCATTGCGTGAGTGCTACACCACTGCAATGGCTATTCCTACTCGGTGGATTCACCTCCTTAATTATCGGAGCCGCAGGTATCCGACCATGTAATTTAGCCTTCGGAGCAGACCAGTTTAACCCTAACACAGAATCGGGGAAGAGAGGGATAAATAGTTTCTTCAATTGGTATTTCTTCACCTTAACATTCGCACAAGTGGTGTCGGTTACTCTGGTCGTTTACATTCAGTCCGATGTAAGTTGGGCTATCGGACTCGGAATTCCGGCGATCTTCATGTTCATTTCTTGTATCTTGTTCTTCGGAGGTACTAAAATGTATGTTAAGGTAAAGCCGGAGGGAAGTCCATTCACAAGTATGGCGAGGGTATTAGTTGTAGCAGTGAAAAAACGAGGGTTGAAAATGCCACAACAACCTGCGGTGTCTCTTTACAATTATACACCATTGAAGTCGATTAATTCGGCTCTACCTTACTCGAATCAGTTCAGGTAATGTTATCTTTTCGTCTATTTTTCTGCATGCTGTTTGGATTTATTTATGGGTTGAAATATTAAATGATTGCTCGCAATTCAACGTGGGAACATAGAGACGTGGGTCAATTTGTATCATAGTTTTGGAGTAATAAATTATATAGATTAAATGTTTTTCTTTGGCTTTTACGTAGTAATAAAATTAATAAATAATTTCAAAATTCCAAGATCCGTTCTGGTTATTCTATTAGAGAAAAGGACCGATGTCCTAAAATATAAAAAGATACGATTAAAATGCATCTTTTAAGGAATATTATATTACTCATAAATAATATCTCACACAACATATGTGACGAGGATAAAATAGTCCCGGGTTTAGTTAAATGTAAGATAAAATTATTTGCTTAATTATTCAATAATTCTTTTATGTAAATTCATACTAACATGACATGCTAAATACTTTGAATATTTAAATAGCTATAATCCAATGTACTTTATTTTAGTTTATGGGATCTGATTTTTTGTTATTATTATATATATTTATAATAAATAAATACTTTTTTACAGATATGATTCTATAAGTTATCATCGTATAAATTCGAAATAGATGACATTCTCCTTTGTAGAATATCAAGATAATCAATAATAATATTCGATAACATCCAATAAACTTCTTGATTTGTGCGATGATACATGATTAAATAATTACCATTACAATAAATAATTCAATACATCTTGATAACTAATTGAAAACAATTGAAACATGAGTATGAAAACCATGCACCCTTTCACACATTACGCCCACTAGTTTTGTAAATCAATTTGTTGGCAACAAGTATAATGAGCACACGTATCACTTCAATCATTTACCCACTTCCATCTGTTTCTTATCTCAATAATAGGCCCTCTATGACGCTGACATGCTATAATTGCTTTTGTCATGAGTCCTTGGGTATATTCTAAATACATGTGTAGTTCTTTGTAAGAAAATGACTCACAAGATTCATACTTAAACATAAATTTGGTTTTATTCAAAATCCTAAAAAATTGACCAACATCAAACCCCAAACATGTTATTCTAGAACTATCTAAACTACACCCTAAGGGCTACATAACATTACTTATGCTACTTGCTAACTATAGAAGTCATCAACACTAATATAAGTCGACCAACAAACACATTATTTTGTACAAGTAAAGTGGGATTTGGTGACAATGGTTTATGTTGGTCAACAAGTGTTTTTTTAATGAAAGTTAGTTTTTGTATCATTAAAGCTAAGACCCAAAAAAAAATGAAATATATATATTAGGTGGTGAAGGCCCAATGAAAAAGGTTGAAAATGACTACATATTCAATATATTAGTTCCTTATAGTCTTCACAATTAATAATTGTGTTCACATTTCAAGTCGACCTAATATCATGACTTTACTCGTCAATTAATGGTCACATTATAACATTATAGAAAACAGATAGTGTCCATTATCACTACACATAATCAAACGGGTGGAAAAAGAATTCCATAGAAGAAGACTTCGTGGGTAAACAAATTGCAAGGGACTAGATTTGAATTTAACATATTTTAGAAGGACTATGATGCAATTTATCATAGTTTTCTCAGTGGAGATCCAAACAAATAAAAAGACAAAGTTCAATCGACAACGTGTGACCAAAGTTGATAACCTAATTTACATTATTGGTGGCTTGAAAGGTAGTCATCTCAAAAACGAACTCGTCTACCGTGCTAGTGCCACCTACTGACCTACATGATGGGGAAGAAATAATAATAATAATATTAATAATGAATAATAATTCTGGAATTGAAATATGGACGTTCAAAATATTTTGAAACATATCATGTAGTATAATTTTTGTATATGAATCGGTTCGAATTGACATCCTCACGTCTATACAAAGAAAAAATGATTTTTTTTAAATAATGAAAAAACGATATGATTAAAATAATAGTTAGTTTATTACATAATATAAACTGTAAATTTGGTTTTTTGATAGAATCTCGATTTTATTTTCGTTAAAAACCTTTGCACTTTCAATTTTGACAAAATCTCATAATTGATCCTTGTAGCTTGTAAAATATTGTATTTTGAGAACATCAATGAAAAACATTACTCCACTGGTCCCTATGATTTCAAAAATTGCATCAATGGTCCTTTTACTTGATTCTAAATAAATAAATAAACAGCAGGGACCGGTAACATGATATCTTTCATAAAAATCTTTAAAGTATAATATTTTATAAACCATAGCAACCGATTATAAAATTTTGTCTTCAATTTTTTATGATTTGACCCATACATTTTTGACTTTTTGGATTTGGCTTTACATTTTTCCTTTTTTACTAAATTGACCTTTCTGTTTTTCAATTTTTAAAACTAAACCTTAACCCTACAAATGTAAAACATGTAGACTAAATCGGAAATAAATGGAAAAACATAAAAAAGTTTTTAGAACAAAATTTAAAATTAAGTTTAATTCAAAAAAATTAATATATACTCAAGATTAACCCATAAACTATTTATAGGATATCATACTAAATTTGGACGAGTTTTTAATCCGTTTAAAATGCTTCTTTTTGCTATATATCTACAATACAATCGGATGAATTCTAAATAACCTAAATGTTTTTGTATCAGTTTTCTAAACAAAGCAGCAATCATAACACCCGAAGACAAGCTCAACCCAAATGGGTCAGCATCCGACCCATGGAAGCTCTGCAGCATTCAACAAGTAGAAGAATTCAAATGCGTTATAAAAGTACTACCCATATGGGCAGCAGCCATAACCTACTTCATCGCAATGACCCAACAAACCCAATACGTAGTCTTCCAAGCCCTTCAATCCAACAGACACGTGTTCAATTCCAGCTTCAAAATCCCCGCAGCTTCGTACACCGTTTTCACCATGCTCACACTCGTCTTCTTCGTACCCATATACGATCGTCTCATTGTCCCCCGACTCCGCAGCATCACCGGTAAAGAAGGCGGAATTTCCCTTCTACAAAGAATAGGGTTCGGAATATCGCTAACTGTTGTAGCTTCGCTTGTTTCGGGTTTAGTGGAACAGAAACGAAGGAATCTTGCTCTGACAAAACCGACGTTAGGGTATGAACCCCATCGAGGAGAAATTTCGTCCATGTCTGCTTTATGGTTGATTCCGCAACTATCTTTAGCTGGATTTGCTGAGTCTTTCACTGCGATAGGTTTAGTTGAGTTTTACTATAAACAGTTTCCTGAGAATATGCGAAGCGTCGCTGGTGCTTTTTTCTTTTGTGGGATGGCAGCGTCTAGTTACTTGAATAGCTTCTTGGTTACGATTATTCATCATACGACTGAAGGGGCTGCTACTGGAAACTGGTTGCCTGAGGATCTTAACAAGGGTAGATTGGACTATTTCTATTTCTTGATAACGGGTTTGGGGATCTTGAATCTTGGATACTTTTTGGTGTGTTCTAGGTGGTATATGTACAAAGAGAAAAGCAATACTGGTATGGTTGAGATGGAAAAGAAAGATGAAAAATCTGTTGTTTGAGAATGAAGTTAACTAAAAAGGATGAAATATGAGGTTGCTAGAGCCTAAATTATATAATGTATTATAGTGTAATTGTTCTAATTTGAGTTGATGCTATGCATATGTATTCTCTATGCTTGGTGTCTCAATCCTTGTACAACTCCATGGATCAAAATTTGTAAGAGAATGGAAACAAATGGATACAATTGGTATGAAAGTTGTCTTGATTCTATCTATGAATATACTAGAGAACTTAAGAAATATAGTACCAATTAGATTGTTGAACGATGTAAATGAAACAAAGGGTAACATGTTGTGATGTGAAAAATAAAGCGATTCATAAAGCTAAATGGAGTGGGGTCGATATGTGGGCACCATATGTTGATGTGGCTACGCAAACACTGCCCCTGATGCTTAGCATGTCGAGTTTTTGTGTTGTGCTTGGCATGTGGCTGATATTTCTCTCATCGGCAAAGATGGGTCGAGGGTTTAGATGAGATTGAGCTGGGTGAACTAAGGACCACTCTTGCAGGCTTAAGGTTGCAAATATTAGGATAATTACTAAGGAGCCCGATATATAGGTAAATCACCCAACTATTACCCATTTACAAAAATGGCAAGTGATCATTTCGGATTTGGAAGATAATAATATGAATTGTTTTTTTAATTTTTATTTGTGTCAAATACTTTCATATTTTCGTTGCACTCATTAAGTTAGAAATGTTTAAATTCAACATTTTTTCAATTAAATGGCACCCTTTTCGTTGCACCCTGTTAAGTTCCAAATGTTGAAATTGTAACATTTTTTCAATTAAATGGCACCCTTTTCGTTGCACCCTTTTTAAGTCATAAATGTTTAAATTCTAACAGGTTTTCAGTTAAATGGCACCCTTCATTGATTTGTATTGTAATCTTTTGTAATCTACCATGTTTTCGGTGTATTTAATATTTTACTAGATGTCTCTCTAGAGGAAGCAACTCCTCTTTTATATCGGGTATCTCAAAAGTCAAAGACCCAATCATGCTATGTGACTTCCAGCTCATTAGCCTTATCAAGACTCCTGCGTCTAGACTTAAGAAAGTAATTGATTAGGTGATTGATGAAATCCAATATGGTTTTATCAAGGGTAGAAATATTCTTGACGAGCCCATGATTATTAATGAAATATACTTGTGGGCTAAGAAGAGTAAGCATAAGATGTTTCTTTTCAAAGTCGATAAGGCTTTCGATTCCATTAATTGGAATTATTTATAATCCGTTATGAGGCAAATGGGTTTTGGTGAAAAATGAATATTTTGGATTAATTGTTGCCTTTCCTCATCTCGTGCTCATCAATGGGTTGGCCACCAAGGAATTCCCATTAACTAAAGGTGTCCGTCAAGGAGATCCTCTCCCCCTGTTCCTTTTCATCATCACTATGGAGGGACTTAACATTGCCATGAGAACCGCTTGTCAAAAGTCAATTTTTCAGGGATTCAAGATTCTGATCGATGGTACCGAGGTTTCTCATTTATTCTATGCGGATGATGCCATCTCTATTGGGAATTGGGTGAGCTCCAACTTTTCCAACTTAGCTAGGATTCTAAAAGTGTTTCCACACTACGTCCGACTTAAAAGTGAATTTCCATAAACCCAAGGTCTTTAGGATTGGCGTCTCAGAGAATGAGGTGACTACTTGCGCGCGGATTTTAGGTTCTAAAGCGGGAGTGTTCCCGTTTAAATACTTGGGGGTTCCAGTTGGCGCCAACATGAACCTTAAACGGAATTGGCATCCAGTTATTTATAGGATCAATTCTAAGCTTTCCGCATGGAAAGCCAAGACTCTATTGTTTGGCGGCCGGTTAATCCTTGTGAAGTCGTGTAACACCCGGATTCCTAGGTATATTATTTTATTCATTTATTTTGGAGTTTGTGGAGGGACTCAGCGAGTTGGTGCTTAGACTCACCGAGTAGGGTCGCGGATTCTCATCCGGGTTCATGACCGGACTCGGCGATTCCATGAGTGGACTTGGCGAGTCCACGCTGTTTAATGAAACCCTAATTTCCCGGGTTTGGTACCTATTTAAAGGCCCTTAGGGTCGTCATTTGCGGCTACCAAACCCCAGAGAGAGACCCTAAGAGATCTAGAGCATTTGTGAAGGAGGAGAGGCCACTTTTGATCATTTTGTTGGTGTGATTGCAAAAAGGAGCTGACCAAGGCAAGAGGAGGTTGAAGGAGGAGCGGATCTTGTGATTTCAGAGTTCAGAGACTTCATCTTGAGGTATTTATTTAGTCCTTTTTCGGTTTTGGTGTTGATTCTTAGAGTTAGGGTTTTCTAACCCCCTTTAGAAAATGGATATGTGGAGCAATTGGTCCCTTCTCGAGTTTATGCTTTGGATCTGGACTCAAAGAGATCCATAGACCTTACCCATGGAGCTTTATGGGTTATTTTGGTAGCCATGAACTTAGGAGTTGATTTTTGTGGCTAAATCACTAAGTAGGATCATCTAGATGTTATATGAGTGTCAAGGTCTGAACTTTACGTGATTATCATGATTGGGAAGGTCGGATCTATAGGTTTAAGGAACAGATCTGACCTCAGGAGGTCAATGGAGTGTTTACATGGCATGAACTCGGCGAGTCCAAAGATCAGACTCGGTGAGTAGGGTTAGGGTTTCCCGTAAATCACTCAGCGAGTAGACTCACTGAGTTGGGGGAATAATTCAGTGAGTCAGAGAGGGATTAGAGGATTGGAGTTCAAAACGAAAATCACCGAGTTGATCTTGAGACTTGGCGAGTTGAGTCGGGGTAGCCCCGCGATTCATGCCATGTGTGACTCGTCGAGCAAGGGAAGGGACTCGACATGTCAAGCGAGACTAGGAATTAATGGACACGTGTGGACTCACCGAGTTGACCAAGTGCACTCGATGAGTCGGGTCAAAGTTTGACCGTTGACTTTGGTTGACTTCTAGGGTTTGGTCAACAATGAGGGCCTTTGAGCCAAAGAAGGGGTAAAATGGTCTTTTACCCTTCTAAGGGTGCCTAGGGAGGGTTAAGTCTAGTTCTGAGAGTTATATTTATGAGAGTATTACTTTATGTGATTAGGTGGAGGCTAGATCGTATTTCTTCTGAGTTAGAGATTTACCGAGACATCTGAGGTGAGTCTTCTCACTATACTTTACCTTGAGTGGTAATTAGAGTTATGTGACAGAGTTATTGTATGTTATCTATGTGATATGTTGCACTGCATTATTTCTATGTGGTTTATATCATGTGTATATCAGAGTATATCAGAGTTAGAACCGGAAGGTTCACAGAGTTAGGACCAGAGGGTCCACAGAGTTAGGGCTCACGGGCCCACAGAGTTATAGCCTCGAGTGGCTAGTATATGTTATGTATGGTATTTTGTGGAACTCGCTAAGCTTTATGCTTAAAGTGTTATGTGTTATGTGTTTCAGGTACCAGTGATGATCGCGGGAAGGTGCCAGCATGATTCGTACACACGCATGGGTTTTTATGTATTTTGATCTTGGGAAATATTTTGTGAAACAAAATTATGATACAATGGGATTTTATTGATAAATGTGTTTAAAAATGTGAAAAATTTTGTTTTAAATTTTACGATGTTACAATTTGGTATCAGAGCCTTGGTTTGAGGGATTCAGATGCATCTTCGGGCGTATCTGAACTCAAACTGAGGATTTGAGGAAAAATTTGATAATAAAGTAAATTTTTAAAAAGAGTAAAAAGAGTTTTGAGACAAACAGAGCAAAGTCGTGTGTACGATCAGCCAGCGCCCGAACGGTGATTTCCCAAAATATCCTTACAATAAGTTTTAAAAGAAACGTTATGCTACGCTATATGATGAATTATATTATGCATGCTAGAGTAAGACTAGGTATTCTTATTAGGACAAGAGTGGCCTGATATATGATGCCTTAGTCTAGGGGTTTTGCTACTAGGGATGGTTGAGAGTGTTTAGATAGCAGCAAAGAGCTTATGAGAGATCTGCTAGTGAGTAGCACATGATTAGAGAGAATAGCGTACTTAGGATTTGGGACTCTAGGAGGAGGAATTAGTGTGAATGCTGAGTCGGTGTGGTCGGTAGTATTGGGCCTGTACTACCGAAGGCACCGAGTCAGTGCGCAACCCAAGTAAGAATCCTTAGGGTACCAAAGATCAAGTAGGGTTGGGATATAAAGTGTGTGTACATCCGAGCAAATTACTGATATCTTATGTTGTATTTCAGAGAGGCATCATGGTAGGGACACGTCACAGACCAGGGACCAGTGGAGGGGGGGTGAGCGACGAGGAGCTCCGCCAGATGATTCATGATGAGGTGGCTGTTGCCATCCACGATGAGATTCCAGAGATGTTCGGGTCTATCAAGACCACCCTGATAGAGACATTCGACGAGAGATACACTGCTCTTTCTAATGCTGTTGTTGCTGCGGCCACTGCAGTTGTAGCTGCGGCTAGACCGCAGGGTGGTGATGCGTTGCTATTCCGGGAGTTCAGCAACACAAAACCACTGGAGTTTGATGGGACCCAGGACCCGATTGCAGCGATGAGGTGGATATCAGACATAGAGGGATGTTTGTTTACTTGCTCATCTCCTGAGAATTTGAGGGTCCGGTTCGTGCTGAACAAGCTTCGCTTGGGAGCGAAGGATTGGTGGAAGTTTGCGACGGCACATTATTCTCCTGCTGAGCTTGCTGCAGTGACTTGGGAGAGGTTCACTGCTATGTTCCAAGATTAGTACATTCCCCAGGTGGAGAGGGAGCGTTTGGCCCAAGAGTTTTTAACCCTCAAGCAGGGTACTGATTCTGTCACAGTGATTACGAGGAAGTTCCATGAGCGGGCGATGTTTTGCCCAGAGCATGTGTCCTTCGACCAGGCACGTATGAACCACTATCTGAGCATTTTGAGGAGGGATATACGGGAGTTTATGGCGAACTCGACATACTAGACATTTGCTGAGCTTCAGGAAAATGCTCGGAAGAGGGAGATCGAGCTGGAGACCTAGGTTAGGGAGGAGGC